AAGTGAAACGACAAGAAAGTGTTCTGGCCTCCTTCCATCTCCTGGGCGTTGAAGACACAGAAATTTTAGAAAAGACTTCACACAGCTCCAGGATAACCTTCATGCAGCCGTTTTTCACACTGAGGGTGGCTAACCACTGGATACGGGACCGTGAAGATATAGTAAAACCTCTCTGGAGGCCCAGATCACCTGGACCTAATTTTGAAGCTGCCTCTGAGCAAGGGCACAGACCCAAGACTCCCTGTGGCTCCTTTCACCCAACATTATCCTGTGACTGTAGAAGTATATGGCCCTGAAACAGCAGGCAGAATCTCACTTGCCTCGTTAACAGCAGGACTCTCCTCCAGGCTCAGAGCACCCCATGGAGCTCAGCTCTCCTCCTCGGCTCACTGGCACAAGGTGACCACACAGCAGAAGAATCTGTCTCAGTCCCTGTGCTCGTTGCCCTTTAGATGCAGGAGAACGGCTCCTGTCTTGACAGCATTCCCAGAGGCTTGTAGATAAGCCAGAAGTAGAGGGTGCCCCTGGAAAAGTAATCTGCAGGAAAAGTAAAGTGCTGCTGTGAAATGCTGATTGGTTAGCATTTGAGTTTTAGTGGAAGTGCACTTATATCAAGGTTTGACTCTTAAAAAAAGTTCCAGGTTCGTAAGAGCCTTGCTAAAGAAGAGTTCTTGGCAGAGGTGGGGTGTCTGCAAGAGAAACACCAGTTCCCATTGACAGATCCTCAGGATGAGAAATAGCCCTCCTGTACACACACAGACACCTCGGGATTGGCCTCCTGCAAGGACAGATTTTACATCCTCATCTGGAGATCATCATGGAAAAGAAGGGTTTTAGAAAGCCACTTTGTAACCCTGAGCATCAGAATAAGTAAACGTGCAGCATCTCACATGCTTTGCTCAAGAGATGAAGTGTCACAGGCTTTTGATGGGATTCCAACTAATTCCACTACGCATACAAAAGCCGGCTTTAACTCTTCCTGTGCTATCAGCCTTAAGGTTTTTACATTCAAGCAGATTTTTAGTAAAACCTTCCCCAAAACGGCCAAGTGCAGCAATTTGCCGTGCTCATCGTAGCCAAGACATTCTTTAGCCCTTTCTCAGTGCAGCACTAGGAGAGATTGGACCGAGCTGCAGGGATATGGGTGGGAAAAGGTTGCTTCTTGTTGCTCTCCGTTGGGAATGCAGCAAATGTTTTCAGGGGCGTTTTCTGTACTGAGATCAATTGAAGTTGCTTGGACAGTTCTGCTTGGCAGCCTCAGCCAGTGCAGCAGTGTGGTGGAGGAGAGTTCTGCTAGCGGGAAACTGAAGCCCTTGCTTGGGGTTATGTGTTTCCTGAATGGCATGCAACTAGGGAGGAGTAGACAGAGTCACGAGGGGAAACATCAGAGAGCTCCCTTGGAATAATCCCCTTCGTGGAGAAGGGCTCGAGCAGCTGTAGGCTCTTCCAGATTATACCTTCTGAACCCCCAGGGTCAGCCAGAAAGGGGCTGGGTTCTTATTTCCTCAGCAGCCTGACTCTAGAAACAACACCCACTAACACATGCACACACAGAGAAGGGTTCAGCACTGGATATGCACTCGTTTTCTACATATGTGATAACAAATGGGTGTGCTTGCAGTCCAGAGAATCCCCTGCTGCCCTGTTCAGCAGCTGGCTAGTATCCTTTTCAATAACCAGCGGATCCTCTAATGATACTCCCTGCATTCTGTGTTCTTCCAGGCAGCCAGCTACAAGTGCTTATGTGCAGTTAGACTCTGCGTGATGATTACAGATGATAAACGTAATTATTCTGGGTCCTGATTGCCTCTGCTTTCTTCGTTCTGTTGCTAATGTGTAAAACCACCCCAACGTTATCAGGTCTGTGGACAAAAACACTGTGAAGAGACAGCCTTCCTCCTGAAGGAAGGGCCACGTGGTCAGGGAAATGAACAGTTCAATGCAATGAACTGTTCAAGGCACTGAGCTGCAGCTGTGCCAGCCTCCTGCCTCCTGAAACACAAAGTCTTTAAGATGCACCTGAGCACTCTGCAAAACCAAGGTCAGAGAGTGATGGGAAGTGGGTTTCATTATTCGGCTGTAAAACCAACAGACAGGAAAACATCAGCGATGAACCAGTTAGGCTGACTCAAAGCAGCGCTGTCACACAGGTATCACAGAACGCAGGATTTTAGGAAGCTGAACAACATCAAATCTCCTGAAGCAGCAAAATGTCCCGTCAGACCTGTTACTAGCATGTGTGAAGCTGTGGGGTGGGAGAACACGTTCCTGCACCAGCCAGGAGCCAACTGCCTTCAGATTTGCAGCAGCAGATGGAATCCAGAGCACAGATCTCCGACTTCTGTTCTGAACCAGAACTGGGACCCGATGCACCAGCAGCGCGGTGCAGGGAGGCTCTGCTCTGCCCAATGAGCCCAGATCTGCTTAGTCAACCCTGGTTTCTGGGGGATCTGCCATGTGCTGAGCAGCCACACTTGGATGTGGGTCCATGGAGCAGCAAACACGTGCTGTGACACCGAGCAGGACCTGCACAGGGGAAGCAACAGATGGCAGGGCCACTCACTCTCTGGTCTTCTGTTGTCTTCTCTTTACTCCCATATGGTCCTGTTCGTAGAGCTGGGGGTGAACTCCCTTTTATATGATCTGTTCCACATGCTGAGGGACAGAACTGGCAAGGTCTGGGTGTCCTGAAGAGCAACATAATCTTTCCTGCTAATCCAGGAGAAGGGCGGTATTGGGAGAAGGCTGAGAGGCAGAAGGAACAGCAAGGCTGGCAGAGCTGATGCTCACACCCAGCAGCCCTGTTTCCTTCCCGCATGACCTGGCTCCTCAGAGACAGCCAGTGCCTGGGACAGAGCACTCTGGAAAACAAGGAGTTCTTTAAGTTTTCTTATTAGATAAATAAATCAATCCAGCGATCACAAGGCCCTGAAGCCAAAGTGGCCAAGGATAGGAGAAGCTAGAAAAGCTTCAGTGAGAACAGGTAACAAGAGACGTGTTTACCACCGAGGAGAGACAAGGCTTCTAACACTAGCAGGCTGCTGCACCACAAACATTCCCTATGGCCTGGTATGGCTGCACAGAGATATTTACACGTACAGGCAGGGAGACGCCAACCCCTGGCTGGTGAACAATCAACTTTTATCCTCTCCAGACCAGCAAAGCCAAGATTTCAGTAAACACGCAACCCCAAAAATGTGCCTGCGGATTGGGTAGAGCAGAGCCTGTGCTCTCCTTGCCAAATAACAAAGCCGTTCTCCTGTGGGTGGTTTCATGGTGAGGTTTCTGTGGGGAGGAAGTGTTTCTAGTGGTCAAGGCAGGGAGCAGGGGTTCAGCAGACCTGGCTCCCATCCCTGGCTCTAGGCAAATCAGGGGAGCTCTGACTGCAGCAAATGCACGCTCTCGCAGGAGTCACTGCTGCCCTCTGCTCACCTCTCCTTGCTCAGGCACAAATTGCTCCTCTGAGGAACAGAGACGCAGGCTTTTCCCCACCTGACAGCACTTCCTGACCTTGCAGGGTTATTGCGGAGCTCGTGTGATTGATGCCTGAAAGACTGGCAGAGCTCTTTGGATGACAATCTGTCTGGAAGGTATTGGAAGACGTGCATGTGCAAGTGCTGACACGTGAGAAGGAGACACGCATCTCACACGCACTCTTTACTTCCCTCCATGCTCACAAGTCTCTACCCAGACTTGCTGCATCTGCTACTTGTGCATTTAAATATTTACAAGATGGGTCTGCAGAAAACCTGTGTTTCAGAGCAGAGTAGCCAATGCTCTGGCTGAACAGATGCCCTTACAAATACCCAACCCACCTCCCTGCTTGCCCAGACTCCACATTTTACTCACAAAATCAGCGAACGTGAAGCCAGGCTGAAAGCCTACGGCAGATACAACCCAGCTCTACTCAGTTCTGATGGGCTGGTGTGAGTGACCTCCCCTGGCCCCTGCATCGTTCCCTCTCCACTTCATCCACAGATGTCATTAACCTGCTGCTTATCCCCTCCTCCAGCTCATTAATGAAGACACTAAAGAAGACTGGACCTAACCCTGATCCCTGTGGCATGCCATTAGATAAACACCTCCTTGAAGAGTTCCCATCAACCTCTTATGTATGAAGGACTGTTGTCCTGAGGTGTGCATAGCTATTAGAGCTAATGACTTCACCTGTCACAGCTTATTTGCAGTGAACCCCACAGGGAGAACCCACCAACCGCATCAACAGTTTGTAAAGACAAAAATGAAAGAAGGAACACCACATTGTCACCCAGGATGACTCTGTGTTTAGCGGGCACACCGGGTTTGTCTGTTTACAATGTTTTATCTGACTGCTGTTTGTGATTTCTCTCCTAATTTTATCTGCATGCTGTTATTTTTTTTAAAATCTTCTCTTACCTTGTTGGCTGCATTTCAAAAATAGGTGGCATGAGTCAACTGCAGTGGACCAGTGTAAAATCTTGTAAGATACTTCCCTCAAGTGGAGGGAATAAAAATCACTCAACTGTGTGTCACAGCCTCTGAGGTACCTCAGGTAGCAGGAGATAATGAGAGATGGACACCTACATGAGGTAGAATCTGCCAACCTGCTTGAAAGGTGCTAGGAGCATAGAGAAATTATCAGTGATACTGCAAAATAAACCTCCCTGCTCTACAAATGTCAGAGCACACAAGACAACACCCAGCCACCCTTTGTAGCAGATACCAAAGGAGAATATGCTCTGACAACCTGTCAAGTTACTACATGGACAACTAATGTATATCCATGAGCAGGTTTTAAAAAGTCCTGAATGCAAGGTGAGCTGAGCGTGCTGAGTGCTCCTACATGATGTTTCAGCAGACGTGGAAGAGGCTGTGGGGTGAAATACCTGAGCCCTGTACAACAAGGGGGCCTCGTCTAGCAGAGCCTGCAGCGAGGCTGTGAGGGACAGACGGGAACGGAGCGAACCAGATACAGATTGCAGTCTGTTGGTAGAGCTGGTGTGGGTGGTATCTATACTCACCCTAAGGCTGATGTCTGATCTCATGATCACTGTTTTCCTCAAAGCAGGCAATGAAACATGAACAAAGAATTCAGATCTCGCTGTAGTTTTACTGTTACAATGATAGCAGCTCAGCTCTGGTCTCTTCCGCGTACATTGAACAGGAGAACATTTCATCTCCTGCAAATGAAAAGAGATAAGAAGGGCTTAGCACAAGGCAGGATTTGTCTCTGTAACTGATCGGTCCAACAAAGGGAAACACAAACCGTTTATTACAGAAAATGAGTTGTGCCATCGAGGCAGATGCCTGCAATTATTTCTGTTAAATATTATGTTTCATTAACTGTAAAATATATAATTAATAAACTTGCCCCCTCGTTTTTGTTAAGTTTCACTGCAAAGACCTTATTACTGGAATAAATCTTTCTAGCAGCGCATGTTGACAGAACAGAGGAAGGTGCACGCCCCTGTGTGTGTGATAATTTCCTTATGCGAAACTGAATTATTAGGGAGGAATAATCACCTCTCTTCACAGCTACGACTGTAGATACACCCCACTCCGAGACTCGTTGATTAAGCTCATGCCTCTTAGAAGCAGGGAAGAAGACACTGCTTTGGCTGGCAAAGATGATTTGATCTGAAAGCCACCACACTCTTCTTTCACTGGCAAGTCTGCAGAAACAAAATGTAAAACTTGATTTTTGATTCACTCCATTAAAACAGTCCATTAAAAAAGTCTTCTGCCTATAAAGCTGTTCAGAAAGACCTCTGTGGTTAGGCTGCTACCCAGACTCTTTTATAAGCCCTGTGTTCATCCACCTCACAATACTGTAGAAGAGCTGCAGGACTGTGATTTGCTTTCCACATACATCAGAACTGTTTAGATTTGGGGATGTTTGGTGATGGCTGTTAAACCATACCAATTAGAAATGCTTCAAAAATGTTGCTGAAATTTGACTCCAAGCATAAAATTCCCCTTAGATTTTGTCTCCACTTGTGATCTTTACCTCAAGCTAGTTGATTGCCAGTTCACCAAGGGTAATTAAAATATTTCCAAAGGCTGTTCTGGGCAATCTTTTTTGCCTTGCTGCAGGCTACAAATGTTCGTGGTTTGCCCTAGGCCGACGTTCATTCCTGCCTGAGTTGGCACAAGCAGCGACGCATGCCAAACGAGGAGGAAAGCTGCCTCCATCACAATTCTCCCCTCCCAGGGCAGGTGGCAGAGAGAACAGGAGACCAGAGGTGGAAGGACGGAGTGCACGAGCACTCACTGGGTACAACTTCTGAGCATCGAGGAGACAATAAAACTCTGGGAGGAGAAGAGGGCTGTATGTATTTTAATAAAACCCTGTGATCTCACTGTTCTGAGATGTCTGGATGCCCCTCAGCAGAGCCAGGAGGCTTTACAGATGAGGGAGGGCAAGAGCGCTGCAGGTCATGTGTGCTGGGAAATGCACGAGCCCTGCCTTGCAGCAGGTCAGGCCTCAGGATGCTGCACGAGATAACCTCACCCTGCTGCTGCCCTGAATCTAAAGAAAGGGGCCCATTCTCCGCATCATTTCAACTAGCACTTAGGAATGTTAAAACAGCCAATCAATTTGATTACACAGAAATTTTAGAGTCAGCAAATTATCTAGTTAAATGATGCGTATAGAAATGTTAATTCAACAGCAACTGAAACCTTCTTAAATTTCTTACCATCTGAAGGCAATAACCCTATATGAAGAAGAAAAGTGAGGGGCTGTGCATTCTGTCCTTGCAGAAGAAATCATAACAATATTTTAGATATTGCCTGTAACGTAACCTCTTCGCAGTTACACAAATAGCACAGGTTGAGATTGAGTTTGGAAGTACAGCAATGGAAGCTCTGAAATTGCATTACACAACCATTTGCCATGGTTTTGCTCCAGGGGAGGGGCTCATAGTTCAGCTCATCTTCATCAACGCATCTCTCTGCATAACCATTGTGTATGAAAGTATAATTTTACTTTTGTATACAGAAGTATGATGACACTTGGCTGTATGACCCGCACACCCCTATCCCTCAACAGCTACGAACCCCTCTGTACGTACACGCCGACCCTGCTGACTATCAGGCATTATTTTGTTCCACTGGATCCCTGCTGGGTCAGACCACGAACACTGGAAAACGAAGATGGAAAAGTTAAGCAGCTGAACTCTCTGGCTCTTGGGCCGCACAAGGGGGAGGGAAGAGGGAGGCAAAGCATCTGGCTTCCCTGCTTCTCTAACAGCCTGGCGGGAAGGCTGCTGTCAATTCCGCCTTCTGCCTTGTTGGAAGAAAGTAGAAGTGACAAGAGGCCCTCCAGGCAGGCAGCCAGGAACCAGAAATTCAATTGAGTTACCTCCCGAAACTGGACTTTTTTGGAGACCCTTTCCCTGAAATTGTTTTGCCTTTAAAAAAAAATAAAAATCATCACAGTTCAGGGCCAATTCATCACCCGTGGTCTCCTGGCTCTCCTTTCCTCCAAAAACGCGTGATTTGCACAAAAGGATTTCCATTTTCCAGGCTGCTCTACAACCAGCTTCACCCACAATAAATACACACACGCATAAATATGCACACACACACGCATGCATAGACACAAACACTGTTATTTATAGACGCAGGCATTGCCCCAGACAGATAAATACACGGGCGCGTTTCTTTCCTATATAACAGGCAGGGAGAGAGGCGATGCTGCAGCTGAATTCACTCTACATTCGGTGATTAGGAGACAGAGTGTGGGACATACGGTCTATCTCTAGGGCTTAGACCAACCGGTTATTGGCTGGTGCTGCTGTTCTCTAACAAGCCCCTGGATATATCACTGTGGCTGTAGAGAAATGCAGCTGAAAGAGCCTTTCACTGTCAGTAGCAATCTGTCACTTCATGTATCTTACCCTGCCTCTTCCAGCACAAAAGCTTCTGAGCTGCAAGTCGGTGCTAGGAGAAAGGTCATTTTGCAGGTAGGCTGGGGTATTTTTCTTGATTTCTGGGAATGCACGGCCAGCTTGAGGCACCGTCTGGATGCTGCAGCATGCATTTCAGCTTCACATATGCCTAGCTATAATTTAAGACAAGGGAGCATTTCCATTACAAATCCCATTTTTTTTTTTTTCCTGCGGATTTATTTCTTAGCTATTTGGCTTCACTTTGGGGTGAACCTTCATAGAATATATTCACAGGCAGGGAAAAACTATTTTTCTTGTACAATGTTTAAATCCAACTCAGCCTCTTTGGGTTGTAAGATGGTGAAGGAAATTACGTATGCACACAAACACTCACAAGCACATACAAAAGCTTATACAAACATATGCCCGCAGAGAGATCTGTTACAAAAAAGACAAGCCAATGCAAATAAGCTCAATTTTAGAAGTGAATTAATTTGACTGACTTTATTATTCTAAATTATTAACAAGTTCTAGCAAACTTAGAATGCAATAACCACACATGGGCTTTCATCCGAGTTAAACAGAAACAGATAACTGCTCCTGATATACGTGGTATCAGCATAAATCTGGGAGAGCGAACTTGGAGGCAGAAACCCGGCACACAATGAGCCCCTCTCCTTGCAGCATGGTGTTCGCAGCTCCTGTACGGCTCTCCTCCCCTGAAATATTCCAGTGCAATGAATCACCCTCTGACAATGCCAGAACCCCCCTATTTTCGCGAATGCCAGCTGAAACCTGACCTCCGCAGCACTCTAATCTGTTTATGACTTGGTCTGGCTTAGCAAGCCTGTTTTGGGGGCTTTTTTTTTTTTTTTAACTCTTTATCGATTCTACTTTGATGTACTCCAATAAAGCACATCGACAGAAGCAATTTATGTTGCCTAGTGCCTCTAGTTCCAGGAAAGCCCATAGCATATATGAAGAGAGGTAAAGCAACGTCCAGGTTACCTGCTGCTTATCCCAATCTTCCCAGCTCCGTTCAATCCACCTCCACAGCTGAGATAAGGAACAACCGGAGCTGGCACAGCAGGCACCGGTTCCAGCGGGGTGCAACCCCTGCTGCCAGGACTCAGGACCACTTGGCCTGGGGAGCTGCTCATGGAGCCCCTCGTCTCTCTCCCTTGTCTCAAACGGTGGTGTGTAGCTCCCTGCCTGTAAGGTTAGGCACCTAAAGTGATGTAGAAAGCCAAGCTAAGAGGAATCTATGCCAGATGGGCCAGCCCTGCAGGTAAGCGCTGCCCTCCCACTGGCTCTGAAGGTACCGGTGTGGTTGGAGATACCAAATGGAGGAGATGGAGGAGTTGCCTGAGGACCCCACAGCTCTGCTGAGAAAAGACAGTGGCAGGGTGCTGGGGGTGGGGGTCGTAAGGTGTCCCCATGCTGTCTGCTGCCCAGAGCCAGCCTGCAGCCCACAGGAGCCTGCCCGTGCCAGAAAAAGAAGCTCAGCTCCCCTGGCACATGCCTAGAGAAGGATGCTACGCCCCAAGGATTCCTTGCGTCACCTGGAAGAGGCTCCGTAGCCTGTCCGGGGTTCACCTCCCCATCAGTGAAAGGGGGATGTTAGCTCTCCCCTGCACTGCAGCACTGTCACGCTAACAATTTTAATGCACATTGTTCCAGCGCCACTGAGAGCCAGATTAGGCAGCCAGGAACTGTACAGATTTATCCTATCAGTTGGAGATGCTGTGGCTATCCTCAGGATATGCTGGATTCCCTCTTCCTTTCTTGCTTTCACACTCAGATCTTCCCCGAGGCTGGGAAAACACTAAGAACATCATCCAGGAAAGATGCTGAGTGAAACCCGTAGTGTTTGGTGGCTCCTGGGAGCAATGCAGGTTTTTCTCTTTAAAGAGAACTTCTGGCTATGAGGACACAGCAACAGGGCAGAGGAGGATAGCTGAGAGCTTCAGAGACCGGAAAAGTGAACCCACATTTAGCCACGGGGAAGTTTAAAGTTCCTGATGCATTTTTCCACTAAGTACAGCAAATCCCCCACACGGAGCAGCAGCCCAGGTGGCCACAAATGCCGCAAGGCTAACTGCCTGCGCGGCGTGCGGGCATTAGGGAGGGCGTGCGGAGAGCAGCTGAAGGCAACACGGGGTCCTTCAGGGAGGCAATGCCACCTGTCAGGAGCTGGGCCTGCTGTGGGACGGCTCGGGAGGCATCTGAGAGCTGCAGGATTCCCATTCATCCCGAGCCTCCCGCGGGTCGGAAGCACTGCTAGAGTTTCGCTCTGCGTCAGCCGCTGCTGCGCTGCGCCAGCGGCGTGGCAGAGAGATGGCCACCAGGCACCTCCTGGGCCTGAGGGAGCCCGGGTGGGGAAAACGCAGCTCGGCACCCAGCAAAGGGGAAGAAGATGAAAGAAAACACGGGCTCTGAGCCTACCTGGATCTGCTGCCACTGCTCAGGCGAGATACCACGGCTCAGCCCGCCTCCTTGCAGGGCTCCTGCCGCAAGGAGCAGGCAAGCTTATTGCACATTCCGTCAGCATCAGAGCACAGGCACCTAGCTCCAGGCTCTTCATTTATAAACAGAAGAGCTGAAATGCCTTCCATCCCCTCATGGAGATCCTTGCTCGGTGCCAAGAGGATGGAGGAATTCCCCCCCAGCTCGTGCCACATGGGTCTGTGAGCCATACGGGTAGGTGGACACACACAGGGACAACGGCACCACAGCCGGGCTGCAGCCCAGGTGGGCAGCGTGCTGGGTGCTCCAGG